GGGCCTGGAGCCCGAGGCCCGGGAAGCCCCGCGTCCAGCCTGGTCCCAGCCGCCAGCGGGTGCCAGTGGTCTCCGCGCTCCGGCGTCGGCCTCGGGGTTCAGTCGCTTCCAGCCCCGGCCCGCATGGGCCCAGCACTTGAGGCCCGCCTCGCCTGCCTCCTGTCTGGCCACGCTGGCGCCCGAGTGGCCGCCCGAGTGGCCGGCCGAGCCGCACCGCGGGCCAGGGGCCGCCCCCTAGGCTTAGGGGTCTGCTGGCGGAGGGTTCCGTGGGCAGGAGCAGGGGGCAGTAGGGGCCCAGTCCCGCATGCTGCCCGAGCGAGGCGAGAGGGGGCGCAGAGGGGGCCCCGCCCCGCGCTTCTGGTGCAGCCAGTCCTGCGCCCCTCCTGCAGGCGCCCGCTGCCCTCGGGCAGGCTGACCCCTGGGCCAGCGCCGGCGTTCTGGGGGGCGCGGTGGCCACTGTCCCTGCACCTCCCAGGTAGAGGCCGGGCAGCGCGGACTCGAGCACGGGCCTCCGGGCGGCCTGCAGCCGGCCCTTGAGCCGAGCTGACCCGGAAGCTGGCCCCGTGGCGCTGGGGCGACCGGACCTCTGGGTTTGCCACGCCCTGCGGAGACCCGAGCGCACCCCGGCTGGCGGGGCGGCGTGGGGCTCTGAGCGGGGCAGGAGGGCCTGGCTGGGGCTGGCTGGAGGCCGCCCCCGGAGAGCCTGGCCGGCAGGGACTCCCTGGAGGGCCCTCAGGGCGCCCGGCGCAGGGACACGGCGGACTGCGGTGCCGGGCCAGACCGGACGCGCTCCGCCCCGGCCACCACAGGCTAGGGGCAGGGGCGGCCGGCATCCGCGGCCGGGCTGAGCGCTGGAGAGCCCGCTCTGGCTGCCCGGGCCGGGCACGGACAGTCTCTCCCGCCGCAGGATGCTTCGCGTGTGGCATGGAGAACGGGTTCCGGGTCTACAACACCGACCCGCTGAAGGAGAAGGAGAAGCAAGGTAGGCGCCAGGGTGCCGGGCGCCCGGTGGCCTGGACGGTCGGCGTGAGGGAGGCGCCCTGTCGGCGCGGGGCACGGGCACCGCCTCGGGCCTCGAGGGACGGGTAAGCAGGCGAGCGGGGCCAGGCCGGCCGCCGTCCGGTGCCATTTGGCGAGGCCCTGGCCCTCCACCTGCCGCTCTGGCCTGGCCCCAGTGGCAGCACGGCCCGCGGGACGGTGGACACGCGCTGCCCAGAGGCTGGTGGGCGTCGGTCTGGACATCGAGTGGCTCCTCCAACGTAGGACTGCGGCTTTCTAGCTGACGGCGCGGGGTCTTTTCCCGAAGCCAGGGGCCACCGGGAAGGCCTGTCCAGAGTGGCCTGTCTCAGGTCATGTGCCCTGGGGCTCCCGCTGGGCCTGGGCGGGCCGTCGAGTGGGCAGCCTCGGAGCCTCCTGGTGCCTAGGTCTGGGCGGGGCGGAGTCGAGCCCGCTGGACCACCGGCCTCCAGCGCCACGGCAGGGCGAGGCCGTGCAGGGTCTGCGCCGGGCTGGGGCCGCCTCCCAGCCCGACTGCCCTCGGCCGCTGCTCCCCGAGCGCCCGTCCCCCCGCGAGGGGCGTGCGCCCTGGCTCCTGCCCGTCCCTGAGCCTCTCAGGCCAGGGCGCCGAGGCGCCAGGAGCTTCCCCTGCACCCACACTCTGTGGCGCCTGGAAGTGCCAACCCAGGCGCCCCGTGTCTTTCGTGGGGGGGGCCACCTGAGGCCGCTGTGTGCCGGGCGTGGGCGGGGCCGGCCGCGGGAGCCCGTGGCCAGTCTCCGGGCCCGGCACGTGGCGTGTCCTCCTCCTTCCTCACGGCCACGCGGACGCAGGGTTCTTCCTGGCGCCATTTCAGAGTTCCTCGAAGGAGGCGTGGGCCACGTCGAGATGTTATTTCGCTGCAACTACTTGGCCTTGGTTGGTGGTGGGAAGAAGCCGAAGTACCCCCCGAACAAAGGTGAGGCCCCACTTGTGTCCTGCCCTGGCCCGCAGGGCGCGAGGCCTGGCCCGGGCAGAGCTGCCAGGAGGGAGCGCGAGCGGCGGGCGCTGG